ATGGGGGAGGTGAAACTGATATTTGAATAGGTCACCATTATCTGAAAACGTTTTAAAGAATATAAGCTTTCCGCCAGCGGCTCCACCCTCATGCTTTAAACGATGTCTTGACAGTACAAATATCCCTTGGGAGAGGTTAAGTGGAATAAAAAGTAGCCTTTATATTAATTCAGGCTAATAATTATATGTATACAAAATTTCATCAAAATCCATTCAGTAGTGCGTGAAAGAGTAATTATATACATACACATATTCTCATTAACTTTCATATTTAAAATATTTATTAGTAGAGTTTAGTCCATCATCTTTAATATATCACTTCTTAACAATACGTATAGAAATAGGGGTTATTATAATTATAAATTGCATTATAAATAATATTTAATAATTTATATGTAATCAATAATTTAAAATTGAAAAATGAAGTATAAATAAGTGCTGTAAAACCATTTGACGGGTAAATATTATTTAATGATTTCAAGATAAATCTATATTATTTAAGTATGATTTGTTTAATTAAATAGGCGAAAATTCACTATTGCCTTCAGCAGAAACTACATAAAAGGGCTTTAGATTTTTGTACGGATCTCTCGGTTCGCGAATCCAACTTGGAATTGGCTGATACTTTTTACTTATGTTAATGATAAGCTGTTAAGCTGACATGATCCAGCAATGTATTTTGGATTTTGGAGTTTAATACTCATATCGATTCTTTTTAACTAAGAATAATTATTTGAAGTAACTTTCTTTCTCAAGCCATTTTAAATATTTTCGCCTTTGTTGAAAAAGAAAGATTCCCATCTTTCATTACTAATTTGGTAAAAAAAACGATGTATCCGTTAAGTTTGCCAAAGTAATTGAGACTATAGACTGTAAAAAGGACTGTCGCATATTATGGATATTAATTTGGATTATTTTAGTTATACCTAACCATTATATCTGATGATTTTTTGCGTCAGTTCCGTGGCCCTTTTTTACTTACTACAAGTAAATTTTAAGATAAACTACGTAATTAGTTTTTGATTAGTAATAACGTACTATATTTCAGATTTTACCTATAGCGAGTAAAAAGTGCCACGGATTTGACGACAACGACTTTTCTCAGAAAACATTCCATGAGTAGATTTAAGGACAGACAAGAACATGAAGTTTTATGTTCAAAAAATTGCTTACAATATTATATACGGTTCGAGATGCAATGGCGAAATTCAGACTCAGTTCGTACTAAAACTACGCAATTCAAATACATACATAAGAAATGTACCTACACATGTCTTATATACATCTAGTACGTGTCGAGAAAATTCTTCAAACGAGACAAAGAAAAAACGAATTCTTATAGTAACAATGTTCCGTAAGTACGCGTCGTCAGTAAAATATGGCCTGGAATTTTCTACGCCTAACATCTTTGTTCGTCTTTTCAGACATAATAATAACATACCTAGTTCAGTAATGTTTTGTACATTCAATGATTTCTACCTAATATTGCTTCATGTTGAAATATTTTTGCAAACTCTGTCAATTACGATCTTAGAACATTTTATTAAAATTACGACCGTAGAACATTTTATTTTTACCAATAAAGTTAATGTTCTTTTATAACGATACATTATTTATTTATTTAGGTACTAATATTAAAATGTTATTTCACCTACGGGAAGCTACATCAGCTGATGACTAAGCTATGTAGCTAGGTAACTGCTTGCTATTTCGAATTAGCATTGTTATAATTTTGTTTAAATTAAACTTTTTTGATCATTACTAAATTGGAAAATTAAAAACAATTACATAACCTCAATTAAGGTGACGTTGGTTTTCAAACATTTTTCAATGAAAAATACTTAAACAATAATAATTCATGTTTTCTATAAATCTCACATGGCAACACAATATCAAGCTTTCACACACAAAGGTTGAACTTTTGTGGAAAATGTGCCGTCATCCATTTAGTTACAGCAGGGGCGGGTGTCATCGCCCTTTTGTTACAGACACTTTAAGTCTAGCTTAATTGAATATTCTTAGAAATTCGAGGATATTATCGGAACTTTTTCGTTGTAAGTTGAATGTCGAATGAATTAAGTATTAAGTTTGCGTGTTTTGGTCTAATCATGTAATGAGTATTAATTAGAATGAACATGGTACAGATTTGCATAAACATGTTCAATTTATGAATTTCATTCTGCTTTTACCCGATAGATAGCGCTATTTCTAAATTTTACTTTCATTTTTTATGTAGGTACAAGTTCATTGTATTTTAAGGGCAAGGCATGGATTAAGATATTATAGGTATTACTTATACTTTTGAATTTGTTCACTACTCCAGTATGATGTATATTTAAAAAAATGCTTTTCATAATTTTCACACTTAGTTTTACTGTAATAATCTTAATGTGACTTGTTCGGAATCGTTTTATCCTAACAAAAGTTTAGATCCAGGGTGAAAAGTTTATCGCTCAGCCGTTCGTTGTGTAATCTGACGTGGATTCAACTGCTTCTTAGCTGGATGGAGGATAACGTCCAGTAGAATGGTCTTTTTCATCCCTTTGCTTTTGTATTTTATTATTACTTTTGTCCTAGTTTTATGCCTATTTTTTTCTTTTATTTATGTCTACAACAATCATAGATAATAATGTTACTTAAAATATAGTAACTTATATAGCTAATTGTAAAGTAGGTATTGCCTAAAGTGATATCGATTTATTTAATATGATAATGTAAGATGGAGAGAAAACAACAACACTACTTGTATGAAAAATAAACTTGTAGCTCCTCTAGTGTTGCAGGTGTCCATGGGCGACGGTAATCACTTACCATCAGGTGATCCGTATGTCGTCTGCCCCCTATCACATAAAAAAAAACTAAGATATTAGAACAATGATAGAAACCCATGTTATTATAAACTAGGTAGTTATTATATGAGTAATGAATAAATGTTTAAAACGTACGTAATTCCCAAAACGAATGTGAACATTTGAAATCAATAGTATCCGTTGTTTTGATAATAAATGACCGCGTTCACGTGGGTAGTATGCATGCTACAATGACGTAGCACTCAGCGCGTTACGTCACATTGCCTCTGAATTACTATTGAATTGTCGATCGTCGATGGCTATTTTCGTGCTCAATGAATGAATGACCTTTTATTCTTAATGGGATTAAAAATTGGAGAGTTCTCTTACACCCATTACACAGATTCGAATTTTATTTGAATAACACATTGAAATGAGCTACAAAGTATACTTTAAAGTATTTTTTTACTTTTAATCAAAGTTTAAAGTATATTTAGCGAGTAGCGACAGTGCGGTGGAAGCTCGTAAAATGAAATGTTCTAAATAAAATAAGAGAACAAAGTTATGGAAAGTTTAATTCAATGACAAAATTAAGAAATGCCCTCTGGAATGAAAATATAACGTGACATAACATGACTAAAGTTTAGATTCTTTGCGTCATTCATATTGTTTCTCATTCATAAATTGACGGTGAAAACTTTGTAGACGATTTGTGAAGCATCAGAGAACTTCATCAAAACATTTTTGTCATTAAAGTCAAATATTAACTTTAATGAAAAAAATTTTTTAATTTATAACAAAAATTAAAGTTGTTACTGACTGCAAAGAGGTTCTAAAATTATTTAGTAAATTTTATTCTTAAGACTTACCAAGTATAGCTCTGTACTTTGTTTGAATTTAACCGTTATATTTGAGTGCCGGTAGATGGCGTTAGTTAGTTAGTTTTCTACGTGAAAGAGAGCGGAAGAATTTATATAGTTAAAGTACGATCTTTATAAAAGATTAAGATCAGATACATCCAAAATCAAAAGTAATTTTATAATCTTCTTAAAATTATTTAAAAAAAATCAAATCAATACACCTACGCCATCTATTGGCGTGTTAAGGTGTCGTAGCCACGATGAATGGAATAATACCATCCAGCTAGCACAAAAGCTTTTCTTACAAAAGTGGTAAAAATGGTAAAGAAGCTTGTTCTGATTAAAGTGTAAGAGTTAGCTACAATATACAAAATAACAACTACCCACTTATTTTATTTTCTTTATTCGAATAGTTAAGTCTTATTTCAATAGTACACGGTTTAAATTTGTTCAAGCCTACTTAACTGGAATCGACTGCACGACGGAATCTGCGCTCCACAATTTTCCATTCATAACGAGCGTAGTGATGTGACCTAGTACCGTGTCGATGAATATAGTATTTTAAGGAAAACTACTGCTAAAAATAACTCATCTTCTATGACAATTACCAATATTACATTATTATAGTCATATATTGTTACGAAAAAATATGTGATAGTTTCCTTAATGAAAATATTCTATATATAGAGGATAATGGAAGAAAATATCGACAGAAAGTAATTTCAGTAGATAAATAATAATACTTTGAAATCTAAATTGAATACCTATATCCAAATCTATCACAATATACCAAAGATTTATGATACGATGATAAAAGTCGAATAAAGCTATTTATTTCTTTTAAATCTCCTGTGTTGTGTATATGTATAGTATTATGTGGTATATTATATAAGACGTATAAAAATGGATCAAACAATGAAAACAAGACACCTTTAATTGCGATAAAAATGTAAATGAAATGACTTTTAAGTACTTTGTATAAGATAAATATAAATGTATCAAATTTAATATCGATAAACTGTAAATTTTAATTTTAAACAGACATCACTATGCTAATCAGTACGTTCATTGTGTGCATACTGATTCGTTTATGCCATTCGAATACGGCATCTGTTCAACTCGTTGCAGTCACTTCGACATAGTTTAAAAGACTGGCTAAGTTAAAACTATCTTGGTTTATAATAATTTATTTAGAATACCATTGATAGCAAGTTTAGTGTAAAAGTTATCGATGTTTATTTTGACTTTGCCATGTAATTTTACCCTGTGACTTTGCCCTATAACTTTGCCCGATAAGTTTGTTGCAGTGAGTGAGTGAATGTGTTAGTATCTATGTTGTTTGTTGTTTTAGTGGCGGTGGTGTGCTCAGTGGGATGTCTTCAGTTGGAAAGTCAAGCTTCCACACGAAGGCCGAGGGTCACAAAATACAGTAAAACTACTGTAGCACCTGGTGGATCAACAGTGAGTTATATTTGTTATATACATACAGCTGCAGTTTGGGTTACTAAATTTCATCGCAATTGATGTCGACATACACTTTTCCCAGCCTTGCTATTGAAAGTACAAACACAGACTTTATGAGTCAACCTAAAGCCTGATTTATACTTCAGTGAGTAAATTAGTGAGTTAACATGCCTCTAGCGAATTAAGTTGCTTTCGGAAAAGTTAATATATCTATAAGTAAATGTATTTTTTATCAGATGCAGTGACGTATTTGATTACATTTGTAATGGAAATAACAGTTTTATACTTTCAAAAGTGCTTTTAGCAGTCTCAACTGGAAATAAAAATATTATTGAAACTTTGATCATTACTTGAATATTGCCTTGTATTCGGGCAATCATTGCCATCATGTTTATATTTGGAAAATAACATGAAATTTTCCAGACCTTTAATATAGTGTAAACCTGTGTCTCTGCATACAAAATTTGGAATCAATTTTTTCAGGAGGCAGCCACAGAAAGAAGTTTAGACACTGCTACGTACCGACTTCGAGATGGCGATGAGACGTGTATTCTCCTTACCGTGGATGCGTTGCTCGATATATCATACCTCACCAAGCTGAATGAAAGAGCTGTAAGTCATATTACTGCTGAAGCTTATGCCTTCCCTATGGATGGCAATTTAGCAATAAATAAAGAACGTGGAATGAAATATATTGACTTCATTTTTTGAATGTTGTTTAGATATGGTTAAATAGATTTATGTGCTTTTCTATCATATTACATCACATTGAAGTTTTCTCTTTTCTATGAACCTTCTCGATATTTATTAACATTTTATTTATTTTATTCAAAAGTTTCAAAGCCAATTTACATTTCAATAAATCGTATTTCTGATATATTCTACACACACTTGACTTTAGCCATGGTGTTCTTTGCTCATTTAACCATTCAGAAATACATAAATGATTCGAAGTTCTACCTCAGATATTTCACTCCATCAGCTCTTGTATAAGTACGAGTATAAAGAAAAGATCCAAAATCGGATTCCACACGATGAAATTGTGGGAAGTAAAACAGAACGTTGATTAATTGTACCGCCAGTGAATCACCATTTTTAGTTAGATGTGGCATGAGCCTTAAAAATAGTAACAATAGAAACAAAACAAAAAGTATACTATAAGTTACATGCACAACCGAATATAACATGTGCTTGTTTGAGTCAATTATGATACGATCACAACACCATTTTGTAATCATTTGGCCTGTCCTCACAATTTGATCCCTTCCAAAAGGGAAATCTGTGCCTCACTATAGATTAATAGGCTGATGATAATAACACATACGATTATGTGCATTTACACGAACTACATAAGGCGAATCTATTGAAATCAAATCAAATTTAAATTATTTATTCAGTCTAGGCTGTTTTTTCTTTCGTCTGTCGTGATCAAGACGAGATATTCACTACAATTAGAAGGCCAAAACTCTGTCATACAGGGTCTCCTAGTTCAGGTTGCGCTCTCTCACGACGGCAGTGGCATTATGGCATTTATGAATTAGCTTTAAGTTTAATGTAATTAAATGTTAAAAATAAAGTGATTATTATTATTATTATTTTGAGGAAGTCGAGAGCTACGCCATTGGTTCGTAAATCTAGGGCTGGAGACCTTGTATAGTGTATATGATTAATGCGAAGGTCTGGGAATAACACCAAGAATTTGTTTCAGGACGCCAATACTTTTGTTCCTAACAATGCAAACGTGGCAGGGGTCTGTAAGGAGGGTGACGCAGAGACCCTTATAATATCTTTCAAAGAGTTCTCATTAGAGTGGTATTTCGCAAAGGTGAGGATTCAAGATATTTTTAATTTCACAGAAGTATATTTATTTAGTGTTTTAAGTATATATTTACTGCAATCAGATTTTATTTTGCGAAAATCCATTGAAATTAACGTACGTATTCGTCTGCATGTTTAAGAGTTAGGCAAAACAATATAGCATAGCACTTGGTGTTGGTTGACGGATTCTATTAAAACAAAATTCTGGACAAAACTTCTAAAAGCAAAAATGCACATTTTATGAATACTAAACAAAGTCTGCATTATAACAATGGCATCAGTAACGTTTTCAAATTCACAGTTTGTAAATAGGATAGTAGTAGAAAACTAGAGATATTAAAGAAATTCAAAAAGGTTTTAATCATTTTCCAGACTCCAGGCGGTGAACGCTGGTATGTAAGCAGTATGCGTCTCACGTATAACTCCAGCGCGCGAATATTAGAGCATGCAGCTAAACAAGGTCGCCGGGTCACACTTACTACAGACGCTAGAGCACTCCTGTTCCCCACGCCGGTGGGGAAGTCCTTCTACTGTCCTGAAGAGACTATCGTTGAGCTAACCGAAAGTGATACAAGGTAGGTAAAAGTTTTATTTCTCCCTATAATCTCCCTATAATAATAATTTTGCTCTAATGGATTTGTTAGATCTGGTGAGTATATAGGTGAAATAAAACAATATCTCAACAGAAGACTAACTCACGAAGGCTTTTCAGTTTATAGGGACAGAAAAACATGATCAAGCTTCATAAAACTTCACGAAACACATTTTAAAGTAAGCAGTTGGATTGTTATACGATCGTGCAGTGTCAGGGTTAGACTAGTTGAGAATTACTTAGATAAAGCAGAACATATAGCGGAATTGGCAATTATCAGTTTATAATAAACTGACAAATTTAAACTTTAAGGTTTAGATTTTGTTTAAAGAATTCATCAGTCCTGTTAGATCCTGGGTAACTCAGTGGTTATAACAGTCACCCGGATTGCGAAAGGTCGAGGGTTTGAATCCCATCTCAGAGTACCTGGGGCTGGTGGATCTTATAAGCATTTTTCATTAAGCTTTTTTTTCCAATATAGCATTGTGAATGCAAAATCAATAAAATATAATATAATATTAAAAATGAGTAGCTCAGTGGCGTAGTGGATAACCGCCGCGGCCTGCGATCGTAATCGTTAAGCAACTTTCGCAAGGGTCGCTCACGGGATGGGTGACCAAAAAATTATTATCTCATTAAGTTTTTTTTCCAATATAGCATTGTGAATGCAAAATCAATAAAATATAATATAATATTAAAAATGAGTAGCTCAGTGGCGTAGTGGATAATTGTCGCGGCCTGTGATCGTAGTCGTTAAGCAACTTTCGCAAGGGTCGGTCACGGGATGGGTGACCCAAAAATTATTATCTCGAGCTACTCCGTGGTTCGGAAGGCACGTTAAGCCGTTGGTCCCGGCTGCATTTGCAGTCGTTAATACCCTCCAATCCGTATTGGGCCAGCGTGGAGGGTCATGGCCCATCCTCCTTAACCATCCATAAGGAAAGCCTGAACCCCTGCAGTAGGGACGTAAAAGGGCTGATGATTAAAAATGTTATTTGCCTGTTATAATTCAGTGCGGCTACAGCACAACGGGCGAAGCTGTATCTGAGACAGATGCGCCTGCAGGCGTTTATGTACAAGCGAGATGGCGAGTTCGGTCCGCCGTGGCACTGCTCGGACTCGGCTCGGGCGCGCTCGGAGGCGGCGCCGGTGGCGGTCGGCGCGGCGCTCGCCATAGCGACGGCCGGCACGCTCGTAGGTTACGCGATCTGGCGTTATTTGAAAGTCAAGAAGGTACAATATGACACGATGGAGTGAGGAGGTTAGTGCGCGTTCTAAACTCGAATTTGCCTTTCGGCTCTTACGTTTCTTTTTAGTTTGCTATAATAAGTTTTTATTAAAGTTAATTTTTCGTTGAAAAATCTTGTCATTGGAAATGCCTAGTTTTTTTTCTGAGAATCACGAGATTTCGGGGAGACCGAAGACCTTTAAAGTCGTCGGCAATGCAATGCTTTAAAAAAACATTAACATTTTTTTTATATTAATGCACATTTTTTTATATATTGTCTAAGACACATTTATTTTTTTACTAACATCGATAAAAAAGAAAAGGTTAACAACAGATTTTTATCAATTATAATGTTTGTTTACTGTTGCATAAATGTTAATATATTCTTTTTAATGTGTTTTAACCGGTAAAAAAAAGTGCAGTGATTAAAAAAATACCCTTTTTATCGTCTAACGTGCGAGTCAAATGACGAACGTTAATAATAGTCAAATGACGCACTATAGTAATAAGTTTTCATCGTTATGATTCCTTTCATTGGAAATGGCTTATCTTCATTATTTATTTTATACTATACATTTTATTCGGATCCTAATATAAATGTGATATTTATGGAATATTTTGACCACCTTTGTGATAGGGGATTATTTCTCAAACAATGATATTTAATTGTTTTTTATCTTCAGTTATATATTTTTGTAAGGCTTATTAATATTATTTGTAAAGAGTTCAGAACGCATTGTTGTTGAAATATCTTTAGTGAGATGTGAAAGAATCAGAGGGGGGAAATGCCAATATCGATAAATTTCTTAGATCGGTAGACCAAATTGTTATTATCTACAGAGAATTAATTCAAGTGAGATTTAATTCATATATTTGAATGATTCATTAAAGTAATTGAAATCAACTAAGTACAGAAAGTGATAACGTAATTTTTATAGGCAAAAAATATGGAAATATAGGAATGAAAATCAATAAAACCAGAAATTTTGTATATGAACAAAGTGCGTATTATGCTGTTTGAAGGCTTTTGAAGACAAATTTTGTCTTGGATAAAAATAGCATTAAAAATTTATGTGTATTTATTGAGCTTATCCACTTGCTGAATCTTATTATCAAAGAATATAATTTTTGAAAATTATATTAGTTGCTTGTTATATGATTTTGCGTGAATTTCGCCTATAATACGCACTTTGCCCAGGAGTTTGGTTCTCCTAATTTATCCAAAGTATATTTACCTTATATTTAAGAATGAACGTGTTAAAATGACATCCTGTTTATAAGAGCGTGCTCACAAAATTATAAAGTTACTTGGAGTACGAAATATCTGTTTTAATAGAAGTTGCATTTATAAAACTGGCTTAATATTAACAAATGTATTCAGTGCCGGCTCAATGAATCTATGTAACCCTAGGAAAAATACTGATATGACGCCCATAAAAAGAACAGCAAAATAAAAAACCAATGTAGGGACACCGATAAAGACTGTTGTTAAAATTGTCAATGACATAAGGAACTGCTGTTCTGATAGATTTGTACATTTGAATACCGCGGACATGGATTGGTGATTAAAGAACAAAAGTATTTTTTTTATAACGCACTGCTTTTTTAACTGTTTGCCATACCATGCCGCTCTCTAAATATGAGCCCCCTAGGCATTGCCTAATTTGCACTTTGCCTATATTGATGGGCCGGTGCTGAGTGTATTAAATTGCCATCTGAAAACAAATTGTAAAGTTTATAAAAAATTATCAATTCAATGTCTTCAAATTATTGATAATTTAAGTGTTTATTATATCTGCTACTTCTCTTAAAACAGAATAAATTGTTTAATAATGTTGTTGACAGTTGATTATAATGTAAAAATGTATTTAATCCCCATATAACCCCAAATACCGTATTGGATAGTTTTATATTTTTCTCTAGATATTGAATGAGAAAAATGGCTTACAGTTAATCGGTTTATAAATGTTCACAAAATATTTTATTTAGGTAAAGTGAAAGTAAGTGTAATATATTAACAGATCAAAAGCTGTGCTCGATTTGATAAACTTTGCCAAATCAATTTAAATAAATGATATTTAACCAAATTATTGTGAAGATAATGTGACAAAAAAATAACATCGAATAGAGTGCGGTCAATTGTTTAAATAGTGACAAATAAGCTCGATAAACTTGAATTTTATCGAAATCGATATAGTTATTAGAAATGCTAGAAGGAAGAACTCAAGAGATTTGTGAGATATTAAAAACGGATAGGGCTTAAGAAAGTATGATATAATTTGAAAGCTCATAATTACATTCTACTTGTTATTATAACATTGTTGTTTAATTATTACGTACCCCATTATCATCATTAGGCAATGCTTATCAAAATGAAAACAGCATTCTTACTATCATAATACATATCAGATGATAATAAAATATAATTTATGGACAATCATTATTGTAATTATAATGAATACTAATTTATTTGAGATTGTTTGCGATGTAGCGGACACTATATATCGAAATATTATACGTGTACAAGCAATAAATACGTTTTTATGCCGTCGTTGAGACACAAATGGCTGAAATTGATGTTGTACTGTGTGCAAAACTTGGTTTTTACTAGTGTGAATTTAGTGTTAAGCTCTCAATATTTTTATAAGAAACATATTTTGAGGCAAATACTCTATTACTTTATTGCGTTTGCTTATACGGATTCTTTACAAAGACATAAAATTACGTTTATTTTCAGAGCCTAAATCTACCCAAAACTACCTCTACCGGCTTCCAAGAGATGTTAGTGTATTTTAGTATATTCCATTTTTTCTTTAATTTTTTTTGTAGTTGATAAGTATATCAAATTTATTTCGTTCTATATTCATATGATAAACACTAGTGCCCAAGTTTTGCTAGTTAAGATGCGCTGTGTGTTATCGCTTTTAAATAAGGTCAAGGTATAGCGATGTTTCATTGTGAATAGGAGCGGCTTCATTAAAATAAGTTTAAATTTGGTCGACTGTCTGTTTGATCTTTATCTTATTTTAATTCAACAATGGGTCAAGTCAATCCAAATCTCTATGTGAATTATGAACTTCTCAATATGCAAAGATCTTTTCTGCCAAAACAGGTGTAGCTCTAGATGAATTACATATCGATAATAGTACTGTTAATGATGCAAGTGGTAATAGTAAGTGTATTGTTGTAATTGATTATTAATATTTTTATTTATCCATCTTATACTACATCGATAAATTGTACCGTAATTATTCACAACGTCACATCTCTAGCAAGACTTATTATTTATTTATGTACCTATACTCATCAATTACGATTAACATATCGTTTCGTAAACTAAGTTGTGCGTGAAATGCGTTTTGTGATCATTATTAGTATAGTAAGTTTGTATCTTATTTGTACGAGGTTAGAATTCTATTTAGCTTAAGTTAGTCATAGAGTCCGATCTATGCTTGCTTCATGCTGTATATAGAGTTTAGCTTTCGTTTTGCCGATACCTACGTCATTTGAAGCTGTTTCGGGCTTGTTTTTTAATTATGTACATTTTGAGATATTTATACGTGTCAACATGCACTTATTTAATGTAAATATCGTCTCTTGACTATATGTAAGCCACTTTTCATATTTTAAAGGCCCTTTTATTTAAATTTCGAAATGATCTAATCTTCTAAAATGACTAATGTTTTAAGGATATCTATTTCTGAAACTTTTTCTACTAGTCTAGATTTATAATTCTATTTTCCTAATATTTTGTATTGTAAGCTCCTGGTAGTTTTTTTTCGTCAATAGTTTTTTAGTGTTACGTACATATCGGTGCATATGTATTAAAATAAATATGTGTACTAATATTATTATATGCCATACGATTTGTCTTCCAATAACATTGATCTTAAAACAATAGCGTAAAGTATTGTAGCTTATTATTATACATAATTATGGATATAAATGAAAAAGATGGTGATGTTACGGCGTTTTTACTTAGGATACTTTAAAAATAATTTACATGGTTCTTTAATGTGTCAACAAAACACATTTTTATAATATGCTATTGTTACATACATCATATAATTTCCTTAAATGTTGAAGCTTCCTTATATGACTAATAGATGGCGTTGACGTCATTGTAATCAGCGCTATCTGTTGGTGAGTAGCACTATTTTACAAGTTAAGTGGATGCTTGTCTTTTGGCTTGCATTTTGCGTAGTGTTGTTGACATGTTAGTGAATTTACCTACTACTATTCCTGCAATTACTACGTCTATGTGTTTAGATTTAAGTTTCCCTGTTGCACCTTAAATGTTAGTGTAATTAAAAATAAACAAAAAAACACCAAACAATGGTTTGTAAAACGGCGTAATAGACACCATCGAGTAATATCTAAGAGACATATCTCAAATTATTGTAATTTAGTGCGTTCATTTATTGAAATTGTCTTTATGAATAAATGACGTCGAAATCATATACGATTTTTTTTGACCTAGTTCTATCTAACATTACGTTATCCTACTTACTATAGACTTGGAGGCTTTTTGTTTGCACTAAAGATACAAACCTCACCGGGGTGCAACCGCCGAACTTTCTGGCTATAGGATACGAAATTATGTCACGTTGTTATATAGAAAAGTAACAAACCAACGAAACAAAAAGGATGATTGCTATGGTTTGACAGCAATGTTACCAACTTACTCGTTTATCTACCTCGTAAATAATCCATAAGGTAGAATATAAGCTTCTTTTTTTACATTACGCTAATAATACATAGTATGAAGCAGGAATAAAACCTAATGGTGTCATTAAAAAAGGGTTCCCGTTGGAGTAATTTACGCTGGGATTGCATTAAGTATTAGAAAAAAAAATCATATTATTAAACAGAGACTTAGCAAAGGTTAACCGAGTACGAGGTTCTACGGGAGTAATATTTAGTCCTAGGTACCCGTAGTAGGTTTACTTATTCTCTGTATAATATGAATTTGGACTAATACTTTACTTTTATATAAAACTTATTTGGACTAATACTAAAATTGCAATTT